TGGAAAAACAAGGTGCTTCCAGGATAAAGAGGAACTAGAGGAATTTGCAACCACCAATTCAACTCTACAGAGAATACTGCAGGATACTCTAAAAAAGGAAAATACCAAGATTCCAGAAATAGTGGCAGAGAGGCCACAATGAATGGAGCAGAAAGCAAAATGAAGAAGACAAACTGACAACAAACGACAGAAAAAGAGCTCAACAGAAATGAGGCAGAGAAGATCGGATGGTAGGAACAGCTATTTTGGAGAAAACAAGACATCATAATAGCTAGTGCTGATTTAGTATCATCTTGTTTTGAAGTCCCATCAAACTTGTATTCTTCTGTCTCCATTGGTCTTAAAAGATTGTACCTTACTGGATTTTATTATATATGATAATATAAGTAAAAACTTTTATAGACAAGGAGATTATACAGAAACCATTGTTCATTTTCTGTTAATTGGTTCTAAATACCCTGTAATAATGTCATTCTCTTGGGGCTGGGGATTTAGCTCAGCGGCATAAGCACCTGCCTTACAAGCAGGCAGTCGTGAGTTCGATCCCCGGTAGCGATAAAATAAATAAATAAATAAAAATAATGTCATTCTCTTGAATGGTTTTATAGTGTCTTGATATGTTTGGTGCTACAGTATACAAAGTTATAATCAAAGATTTCAAGGAAAGAGACACTATGGTAACTATTTTTATGTCAGGATATCTTGTGGTGAAACAGTATTTTGCTTAAATGGTTATGTTTTGACCTGTGCTGTTCTATTGTTATGCCCTCTTTCATCTCAACCCCCTTTTTTAAAAAAAATTATTTACTATTTTCTTTTTATCTTTTTAATTAAGGGAAAAATAAATAAAAAATAGCAGGATACATTATAGTAATCTACTTTGATTTCCTATTAACTTGATTTGAAATCCTGTATTGCCCTCACCATCTTGTTCTGACTGATTTTCCTCTATTCTGCTTTGCTTGATAGTACCAAGTTCAAAAGTATAGGCAAAACTGTGAAGACAATAAGATTCATTATGTTGCCCATTCCAGTTGACTATTATACTCTTTTAAAGTCCTGTAATGTCTCCAATCCTTTAGTTTTATTCTTTACTGTTTTGTTCAATTTTATTATAATTGGCAATTCTCCTTAAAATAGCAAGAGGCAGTATGTGTTGATCACCTTGTATTTTGTTTTTACATTATCTATTATGTCCATCCTTTTGATTTGACCGACTCTGTTCTGATATGTCGCATTTGATTTTACTCTCTTCAAAAAAAGCAATAAGAACTGTGGGAGTAATAAAACCCAAAATGTATAATTGTCATTGTACAAAAGAAAAGAAAAGAAAGTGCTCCAAAAGGTTATAACTGCATATATGTTTAAGTGTATAAGATAGATAACCATATTACTGAGTTTTTTTGGATCATTGAACAAAACTGCACTCTCACTGTTTGAAAGTCCACTTTATATGCTTCAGTGTTGTAACTTGAACAACTATTTCTAAGATAAGAATATGTAATCTATTAACTAGTGATTTCTTACTGTTTATTTTTTAAATTTTGTGTTACTTGTACCCTTTTTCTGTTTTTTCTTTTTCTCCTTATATAAAAAAAAATATTTCATAGTTTCAGTATTATGTCTTACATATTTTTGTCAAGTTTCTAAGTATTTTATATTTTTGATTATATATAAATGATACTTTAAGAATTTTTTAAATTTCCATTTTATTGCTTAGTATATACAAGTACAGATGATGTTTGCAATATCAGTCTTACATCCTGCTTATCACTTAGAGTTCTATTAGCTTTTTTCTCCTTTTTAAAAATATTTCTTTGGAGTTTCTACACTGTCATCCATGCCCTCCAAAACTCATGCTGAAACTTAATCTCAAAAGTCATCTGTTAGTGGCAGTTGCAAGTGAGGCTCTTGGGAGTCCATCAGAATTTAGATGAAGTAATGAAGAAGCCCTGTGACTGTACTAGTGGCTTTATCAAAAGAAAGAAAGAGAGTTGAGCATAGTGGTATACACCTATAATCCCAGCCTCTGGAGGCTGTAACAGCAGAATCACAAATTCAAGCACAGCCTGAGCAGCTTAAAAACTTACCAAGACCCTGTCTCAAAATAAAAAGTAACAAAGGGCTGGGAATGCAGCTCAAGGCAAAGATCCTGAGTTCAAGCGCCAATACTACCAAAAAGAGATGAGTAAGCAAGCTTGCTTTGTCTTACCTCGTGATGCCCTGAGCGACCAGTCCCCACCAGCAAGAAGTCTCCCTAGATGCAGTACCTCAGCACTGGACTGCTCAGCCTCCAGAGCTACAGGAAATACATTTCTTGTCTTTATAAACTACTACATGGCATTCAGCTATAGCACCAGAAAACAGACTAAGACACCCAGCTTACTAACTACTCTTCTCCCTTCTACTCTAACATTCACTCCTTAAGCCAAAGGAAGCCCCAACTTTCCTGCCCTTTCTTTGGCTCACCTCCATTGAAATAGCTCTTCACCTTTTGCATAAGTCCTAGGAATGCTTTGGTTCTACCTGACCCTAACCTGCTCCTCTGGACAATGCTGTGATGCTGAACGATGCTTTTCAGAAACAGGAAGTAGCGTAAATGAACCTATGTTAATAGGACCTAGAGCCAAACCTTAGCTGTGCTTTCAAGGAAACCAGGGAGGGGGCTGTACTCACACCTGGGGATGGGAGGAGAAGGTGGAGCTTGACTGTGAAAATTCACTCTCATGTTGAACCCTGCACTTTACAGCATTAATCATAACTAAATTTGTCTCAGTATGACTATTGTTTCACCCTCACTGTACATGAGGCAAGAACTATGTCTGTGCTGATCATTTCTAAAATCCTTGCTTTCTATGAGTATCTGGCACACAGTGTAATCAATTCCTTTAGCCCTGGCAGATAAATAGAATTTAATATACTCCTGAACAAAGTTCTCGGACAGTGATACTCCTCACTTTACATCTTTTCTGGAAAAGCTAATAATAAGAATCAACATTACTTGAGCTCTCACCCTTTTAAGATTTTTAGGGACTACTGTAAGTAATCTCATTTACTGCTCATGACAAACTTTGTATGTGAGGCATCTGAGGTGGAGGGGTTGTATAACCCACCAAAGGTTGCAAAGATGAGATTCAAACACTCCCAAAGCTCACCCTACCAGCACTGCCCTACACCATGCCTCACTGAAGACACTGAAGTCCTGAAGACCAAAGAACTCAGCCAAACAGAACAAACCAAAAGGGAAAAAATGTACAAGAGAAATTGTTCTTTTGAAAACTTTGTCCTTTTGAAAGTGCCTAGCTCTGTAACTGCTTCATGGCTTTGTAATTACTTCTTGACCTCCGTAACCATGAGAACATAACTGAACATGCACGATGCCTGACTGTAGCATTGTACCAAGCTTCATGAATTGATGCTCACTAATCTACCCTTATAGCTGATGATCTCACCCTGCTAGTTAATCATAAGAACTGCCAGGCTGTTCTGTCCCACCTTTGTACCTCCTATTGATGCATCATATAAAAGCCCTAGGCCACCAAAGGTCAGGGCCTGATATTTCAAGAATGACCCCAATCAGGGCCTGATATTTTGAGAATAACCCCCATCAGTGCCCATTAACATAAATAAACCTGCCCCCAAGTCCTGGGAGTCCTTTCTGTGTTTCTGCCTGCCTCTGCAAAATAACATAAAAGATAAATTCAGACTTAGACCTACAAGCCACCAGTTCTATATTCCATTCCAGCACTAAACATTCCAATGTCAGACCCTTACTGTTACGTAAAACAGTGAAAACTAAAACCATGACGTAAATTATTTGAATTTAAAAACTAAAACCACATCTTTCTTTTCAATTGACAAACATAGACAGAAACTGAAATTCAGAATATTCTCATCTTAAAAATATTTTCTACTACACTAAATCTGTTTTATAAAAATTCCTGTAGTCTACTTTTATCTGCCAAGGGAAGCCTAATCACCAAACAAGGCCCACAGGTACTTGAGGTGTGCTGCCTTGACTTTCTAGTATGGACAGTAAAGGCCACGTCCAAACAGCTTTGTTTCTCCAGATCTCAAAGCACAGGGTTTAGGGAACTAACACATATCAGCTCTAACACGACCCGACAAGCTTTTCTGTACAAAAGAAACCCAGAAACCAGTACAAGTCAAGGAGACAGACTGGACAGGAAGTAAGAACAAATGGCACAGAAAGGATAGATGTGCATATAGAGGCTTATATCTGTGTAGAACTTCTCCTAAAACAGTTTACGAGAAACAGATATATTATGAGTGGTGAAATGAACAGCTACTTTGAAGAAAAAGAGACATTATGGTATCTATTGCTGATTCTCTATCATCATAATGTGAAGTCCAGTAATGCTTTTATTCTTTGATCAGAGTGGTTTTAGTCTGTTTTGTATTCTTTAATTTCAAGATACATTAAGGTATGGATAGCTATTTTGAAGAGAACAAGGAACATTATGGGAGCTATTGTTGATTTTCCTGTTGTCTGGTTTTGAAGCCCTGCAATGCCTTCATTACTCTGTTCTGATCAGTTTAATACTATTTTGCTTTGTATGAATTCATTGTGTGTGAAGATACAGACACTATTTAGAAAAAAAACAAGAAACATAGTAGCCACTATAGATTTCCTGTTGTCTTGCTTTGAAATCTGTGTCACTTACAGTGTTTTCTTCCGTTCTGCTTTGCTCTGTTTTGTTCTGTTTTGTTGTGCTTAGTTTTACTGTCTTAAAAATTAAAATTAAAAATTAAAATGATCCAATGTCTGCCTTGCAGATGCCTTTGTCCAAGCATTGAGCAGCCTCTTCAGAGGCAATGACCAACTTTCACCATGGGGCCTCCGGGGCTGGGGACTCCTCCCCACGCGCACACGTGCGCACACACACACACACACACACCTTGATGCCGCCTAGTTGGTACACCATGAAATACAAAAGGCCCTAAGAAGAGTATAATTAGAAAGGGAAATTTTCACTCACCTTCCACTGCTCCTCAGGAAGTAGTTTTACGACCACCAGATCTCCATTTAAGGCTCTATTGCGAGCAACAACCCCATCAATAAAAATGTCTCGATCACCATCCTAGGTTGGAGAGAGAAATAAAAGCACAGTCAAATTACCAGGCCAGTCCCTTGGTTTACAATGTTCAGACTGCAGTCTGTCTCCTGACTCACCAGAATGTCAGTACGCAGCCATGTACATATCCAGAGGGAGCTCAGTTCCTCTTGGGACCAAAAGAAATGGCAGCGAGCACCTAAGCACAGACCATTAGGACGCAGGAACCCACCAAGCACACAAAAGAGTTGCTACAGGCAGGACCAAAACAAGCAAATCCACACCAGCACCTAAAGCAAAAATTGTCAGAACTGAAATGAGAAAGGACTTACTTATTCTTAGGTTACTCTTTTTGGTTTTAAGTAAAAGAAAGCATGCTAATACTTTTATACTGAATGGGCTTCTTAGAAAGTACCCAAGAAAGGGTAAAAATGAAAGATATGACAGACAACAGAAGACAGTGTATTCAATCATCCCCAAACCACGTAATAGCATTGATAATAATAATAACCCCCCTCCTGTGAAGCACCTGAAGGCAGGATTGAGGTATCTCGAGGAAACAGCAAAGTCATTTTGCACCTCAGGAAAGTGGCAAAGAAAACAAATTGTGGTTGTTTTTATGGAGACAGAGAAGAAGGCAAAGAGAGAAGGAAGGAAAAATAATGTAAGTGCATCAAACGTTCTCGTCCCCACCTCTCTGACTGAAGAGTAAGGTAAGCACCAGGCACACCCCATTCATATCCATCATTCAGAAACCACCCACTCCCAGCAGGGGCTGCATGGGCACAGAGGCTGCACCTCTCACTCCACAAGCACTGGGTCTTCCTGCAAAACCACTTACATGGCAGAGATGGCTAATGAAATCCGCCTTTAAAGGTTAGGACCCAGGAGAAGATTAGACAGTTTCAAAATGCTTCAATGACATACATGACCTCTTAATGCCATTTTCTTCCAGAAGCTCACAATACAGACATCTTTTCAGAAGACAGAAGTCAAATGCTAGTTCTTCTTATGAGAGGTGACAGCAGAAGGGTCCTCAGAGACGCAATATGGGTAAGATTTAACACACTCAAAGGGCTGAGGGTGATTACTATGGAATTCCAGTGAGTTACCACACTGCCAGTGGGTGCAGTCGTTTAGCATTTTTGTATAGTTTACAATTATAAATCATTAGCGCTCTTTCAGAACAATTTTTTGTTCAGTATCCAATCTAGCTATGGACTGGCATCTGTGCTGGCACTCTGCCAACCTGATGAAACCCACACCCCAGGCCCAAGGAACAATGATTTTATTTGCCACAGAGAATCACTGTAGCGGACTGCAGGATGAGCTGCTCAGAGAGGTAAGAAGAGGTCAGAGTGAACTGCTAGCTGAGTGTGGCCACTGCCATCCAGCCACTTTCTGTAGTTCATAAAGCAATGTGGCCTTGGGCACTTCCCTGGACTGCAGAGAACTGGGGTCAGTCTAACCCAATCTCATGCGTAAACACGGGCAGTGCAACCCTTTCACACACAGCTACCCCCACAGTTGGGTGCTCAGAGGTTTAAGCCTTTGGGGTGATGACTTGTCACCTTCCTCTCCTAAGAAACCAGAAACAGCAGGGCTGAGCTCAACCTCAGACGCCAGGATAGCCTCCAGGTACTCCATCAGCGCACAGCTCTTCTTGACTCGTTCAGAATCTCTTATTTTAAAGGCACTAAACTTGGCGACTGCTCAACATTTAAATCATTGCTTTAACATGGGGGGGCGGTGCGGAGAGGGAAGGGGAGGGAACATTCACAGAGGAAACACAAAGGGATTTGGGGGTGACCTAAACACTGAGGAGCAGGGCTGCAAGAGGATAATCTAGGCATGCCAGGATGGGCTGAGGAGGCTCCAGTGAGGCAACAGCTCCCTTTGGACCAGAAATAACCGGTGCCTCCCTGAAAGATACATGACAACATCACAAAGCTTCTAGACCAAAACATTCAGAATACAAACTGTGCTAAAAAGAAAAAATAACTGGCTTTTCCATCTGGTCTTTTTCTCCATTTTACCCCATTCTTGAACAGGATAAAAAGACATCTTAATAATGCAATCTTATCTTGGCTGTCTTCAAAGTCATATGGTTTTACTCTTAGTCCATATTTTACTTTTTTCCTTTGGTTTATCATAAGAAAATACAAGTCAGTTTTTCCATAAAAATTATAATGAACCTAGGTCAACTTCCTCCAAACAAATTATTATTTTATACCTGAGGAACAATTCACTCTATTTAGTCTACTGACTTGGGAATAAACCTAAAAAACTTAATATCTTTTTTCCCCCTCTCCATACACCTTGGAATTTTGAAGTGTAAGAAACATTAGTTAATATTTAACCTGCCTCTTCATTTTACAAATATAGAAATCTTATTTCCTACTGCCAGAGCAGAAGCTGCATCTTCTTTAAATATCAATTTCTGTCTTTCTTGTCCCCACTTAATCAAAGCACAGATGACATCCAGGCCACAGCTGTGACATCCTACCATCTACACTACCTGGGAGCATTTTTCCAGTTCACATGAGCTCATATTTGATGTGGACACCAGCCGCATCTCCTAGGAAGTCCACACCACGGATGACTGTGGACTTTATCCACGTGTAATTTACTACCTCCACTATTTTTCTTCTCCATTGCTGTCTATAATGCCTCTGTAAACTGAAAACAATCAAAAGGAGAATATAGGATCACTCCAGTGTCCAAAACCAGAGTAAAGATAATCACTTGCAATTGTGTTTGATAAAAGCTTTTGCAGTCTCTTCTTAATTACCTGAAGATGAGTTATTTAGTAGAGTAGATAATAACATGACTCCACTAGAGACCAGATAAAAGGATAAAAGACGTACAGAAATAAGCCAATCCTAACATCACAACTACCTAAAAGTTTCTAAATAAGACATGGAATACAATTTAGAGCAGAACAACCGTGAGCTTTTGAAATATCACTAACTTTTGCTTTTACTTCCCAGCTTCCCTTTTACAAGCCAAGAACCTTAGAGATACTTCATTTGCAAAGTAAAGTGCATCCACCCAACTTGCAGGACCCTAACCCAAGGCCACGCTCCTTCCCATCAGGCAAGGAACCTCAGATCCAGGTGAGGGTCTCCCCAGGAGTAACCAGCCCCCAGCCCACTAGCTGCTCCTATGGGACACAGAGAGAGTTTAAACACACACACAGGATGCCCACGGGTGTGCGCAGAGCCCTCGAAGACAGGGAGCAAGGTTTACAGAGGAAAAGAGCAGGCAGACTCTCTCCACGTTTCAGCACCGAGTACCACGGAACCTGAGAATTTTACATTTTCAACAATACAGGCACACAGAGGCGTATGTGACAAGGGGTACACTCTGTCATAAACAGAGTGTACTAGGCAGTTTGTTAGTGCAATCTATAACTTTTCACCACTTGACCAGAGGTAAGGGTGCCTCCTTCTGTGCTCCTGTCCCAGGCCTCACACTTGTCAGGTGCTGACCTAACAGGGACTTAACTCAGAAAACCTCACGACTGGAATGAATAAAAAAAATGTGGTATTTTTATATAATGGAGTACTACTCAGCCACAAAGAAGGATAAACTTGAGACTTTTATAGGTAAATGGATGCAACTTGAGACCATACTCATAAGTGAAATAAATCAGACACATATGTGTAAACATCATATTGTTTCACTAGTGTGAGAAGCTGAAACTATATATTTTATATATATATATATATGTATGAAATAGTTAAGATAGTTTTGCTACTGATTTCTGAGCTCACTGAAGAGAAAGGTTTGTGCTAGTATTGTTCAGACAATTAAATGCAGAAGTCTTGTACTCTGATTTGAAGATAACAATACGCAACATATATACCACTGTTACCCCCTAATTATGTTTTGAAAATTGGGGAATTTTTTCTCTTTAAAATAAAATAGAAAGAAAGAAAGAAAACCAGGCAGCCAGCCTCACATCTGTGCACCTAGGGGAGAGAAAAGGAACAGTAACATTTCTAAGTGCTGGAGTCCCCTGCCACTCCCATCAATGAGGATAAACCCCATGTGCACAGATGGGGCAGTCTGAAATCTGCTCAGTCCACAGCTGTGTCTTGGGGCAGACTCCTTACTGTACTCAAACCCTTAAAAATCCATGTTTTTCACACAGGAGGCCTCCTAATATATCAAGCCCTTCCAACAGATGTGCCATGGATGAAAGCTTTTCTAGCACGAGAAAAGGCTGGTGGTGCAGACCTTGTGAGAGATGGCTTCTGCATCTCCAGCACCATGCTTCCTAAGGGACGCTCGTGGGCAAGTCTACAATTCCTCTACAGGATCGTTACCTCTTTCTTGAGCAAATTACAGCCTAACACCCATGTAAACTGTACTTCACTGTATGACACAATTGCTCCTGGAGCTCAGCCACCACCTCAGAGCTGACCCTCAATTCTCCAACTCAAGTTCCCGGGTCAGTAAACACACTATGCTCTGTCATGGTTACACAGTGTGACCCAGAGGGAATAACATGACATGGCAGCGATGCTTTTATCTAATCCAAAGAGTAAGACCTGAACTTGGAGCAAAGCAGATCCCTCGGCTTCTGGAAGGCAAGGGGAAAAGGCACCTAAGGAGAGCTTAAGAACAGGTTTTGAAGTTATTATAACAACAATCACAGTATCACCTATGAAACAGATGACTGGACTTATATGCTCATCAAACTTGTCATTTCATACATGAAATACACTAACTGAATGGGGTATTCCATTTACTCATCTGTAAGCAGAAGTTTATCCCTACAGTCTCCATGAAAAATCTAGAATTCTATACCTGTTCTTACAGCATCCTGGAAAAGTATGTCAGAAGTTGAAAAATATTGCTCTCCCAGCTTCTCACAAATCAAGCTTGTCCGGAGATCTGATGCTAACTCTACCCCAGTGTGAACTTGCTCTAACTAAAGAGAGCCTCTTACTCTGGGCCATGAATGGTGGAAAGGGTCTGCAGCCCCCTACCAATCCGTCACCTGCATGAAAATGAGAAACTCCAACCAAAAAAAAAAAAAGCATTACGCGTTATTTTTGGACAAATGTTCAGATTAGCTCATGCAGTAGATCGAAAGTAGATAGCATACTGGTTTAGGAGAGATTAATTTAAATCAGTGGAAAAAAAACCATAAATCCTTTTAAGCTATAAACCAAGGGCGTCCAGTTACACGAGCTGGTGGGTCGTCCGCCCAGGCCCAGCTGCTCTGCAGCCTTGTAACGAACGCTGGTCCTCTCATCTGCTGTGTGATTTTAAGGCTGGCAGAAAGGGTGGTGAACCAAAGGCAAATTTTGTTTATTTAAATCTGAAGCAAATCTTTGCCCATCCTCAATTTTGTTTTACTGCTCTACTTTTCATTGAGAATACATGATTTCAGCTTCAGAGTACATTTAAAATTAAATATGACATTAAGTTTATTATAAAGTTATTGAACTCACCGGGGAAGGAATGAAGGCTTCATGAAACTTCTTTGGATTAATTCTCAGCACACCCTTTAAAGCAAAAAATAAAATCTGTGAGAACCTAACTAGTTGTATATGTATGATTTTCCCACATATATACTACTCTCCATTAAAAAATTACATAAACAATTTAATGTAGAAAACAAGTTAGAGGCACAAGAAATAGTCATCAAATGCATGGACCATGACCAATACTGCGTGTGTAACAGAAGCAATGCTGGGGCCAGCACCTCACTGTGAACACACCAAGGTGAGAGACCCCAGAGCCACAAAGAGTAGGAAAGGGACACCTGTGTGCCGGTCCTCACACCATAACCTCACTCTAGGACAGGCTACCTGGGCATCATGCTTCACACGTAATCATCTTTTTTATTCTCCCCCATCTAAGATCTTTGCAAAACTGCTTGTTTCTGTGGCAGTTTGCAGTGATTTCCAAGCTGATTTCCAACCTGTAACTCAGGCTCAAAGAACAGGATGCATAAGTTTTACTGTGGCCCCTCTGCAGAGCTGAATAAGTCAGTAATTCAAAATGGTCCATAACCTGCTCTTAATGCAAAAGGGAACACTGGCTCCAGCAGCCAGGCCACCCAGTCTGCCTTTGACTTCATGTTATTCCAGTGCCAAATCAGGGTCCACTTCTATTTATGCACAGGGGCGCATGTGGGCGTAGTCTTCAACAGCAGTTCAGTGTTTCAGGCCTCTGCAGGAAGCCGTAACCCACCCAGGTTCCAGCTGCACTCGCAGCCCACTGGAACACATGGATGGAAGCAGTTATTTTCCTAACAGCCAGACTTAAAGGATAACTTGAGAAAGTGTTTGAAATAACCTCTCCTCCTAAAGCGAGTCACTCAAAGATACATAATTAACAAAACAGGTAAAGGCATAAAATTAAGCAGATAATAGTTTCATACTTTCACCAGTGTACCATAGTTAAATTACAAATGTCCACTCCAAGTACACTACTGAAAATAACCACCCAGTCCTTGGTTATTTATCAAGTGCTGGTTAAGGTCAAAGGCCCGTAAACAAAGTCGGAGGCAGGATGATAACTAAGCTTGGTCCTTGTGTAGAGCGCCGTCAAGGGAGGGTGCAGCTTAGTTTCAGCTGGGCACCAGGACAGGCTTCAGAGATGGTGCCTGACCTTGTGCTTGGGGAACAGCAAAACCTGCGGGAGATCAGAAGGGAGGACAGCAGAAGTGGGTGAGAAGGTCGCCCCTCTGCGTGGGGTCAGCGAGGGGTGTGGCCCTAGGCCTCCATATAAAGAGTGCTGAAGGGGGTTCACTTCTAGCACAGCTGGAGCTGCTAGGGACAGCGGGGAAGATTCACATTTATCATAAATATTCATGTAGTTGACAAGTATTTGCTGATGACTAGGACGACAGGCGCCCCTCGGTGGAGGGAACATGATGAGAGTAACAGGCGGTCTCTAGGTCTCTACCGGAATCGCAGCCTCAGTCTAGAAAAGCAAAAAACCCCAAATTACAATAGTAGATTCACTGAAATGACGTTTACTACAATCTCACTTCCTGGGTCCAGGCAATTGTTTTTTTAAAAAAATTCCTATTGTCCCATCTTCCCTTCTGGATCAGTGAATGGTTAGCACATAAAAAAGTACTGAGACGAATGAGCCTTTAATTTCAGAGTATTCGGAAGCTCAAGCAGCCAAAGGCTGCTTCTAGGCTCTAAGAGAAAAAAACATTCAAATTGAAAGTTTGTATTCTTGACTCTCTATCCCAAACTTCTCAATACAAAAAAGCATACAAGAAAGGACAGAAGCCCTGCTCCAGAACAGCATCTGTAAATGTGATAGGAGCACAGTCTGAAGAGCTGGACCTCAGGAAGGGACCTCGGAGAATACAGCCGTACTAAGAAAGCTCCAACAACAGGGGCCTGCAGCAGACAGGGCCACCAATGGCCTGGCCCGATGGAGAGTCTGACAGAAGAGCCTGTGGAAAGACTGGGGCAGACTTCCGGCAGATGCTTTGCTTCCCACTTTCTAGCCAGCCCCAGCCTCACCTGAACCCCAGGCCCCTTCCTAATCCTCTTCTAGGCCAGGACCCTGATGAGGCTCCTGGCTCAGGAGGCCCTTTGCCAAACAAACCCTGCCTGACCAGAGCCTGCAGCTTCCCTGTTGTTCTCATACCCATGGATCTCCTCCTGGCTTCCCTATTGTGCCTTGAATTCCACCCCTCCATTTTCCTTCTAAAACTCCAAATCCTTCAGCTTTGTGCCATTGGCTCCTGCTATATCCCTTGATGCTGTCATCTCCAAACTTCCTACTCACAGCCAAATGCACTAATATTTTGGATCTGAGCTCACAGATGCCCCACCCCCACTCCTGTTACCTCTTCTGAGATTTCCCTCCTACACAAAGAACGAGGCCACCCCAAACTGTCTTACTGCAACCACATTCTCCTCCTACCCTAGCTGTGTCCACCACTTGTCCCTTGTCATCAGCACCAATTACACTACTTCCAAACACAAAACACCAAGCAATAGGCTTTCTGATGACAATCCTGTCCTCCCAGTTCATGGTGGAAATGCCACTTCAACAATTCTTCAACTTCACAATGATGGCCAAGCCACAGCCCAGATGCTTTTACCACTCGCCGTCCTCTCCCTCAGTTTACTCCCTCCCTTGGTTGCACAGATGCCACGGTCTATCATTATTTCTCACCCCTCAGAGCAAGCTCTGGCTTCTTCCCTTCTCCCCAACCCACAGGGCCCCCTCTCCAGTGGCCCCTGCTATCCACCTTCCCCCTGCCTACACTTGCAGAGCTAAATGGTACTATAGAAAAAGACCACAGAACTGGGCTAATTAGTCCAAGTTGGCAATCACAAACATGTTTAATTTGGCTTATAAAATGTTTGAAAAATGCTTAAACTGAGGAATTTCACACATAAAAAAATATGTATTTTCTTGAAAAAAATCACAAGCTTTAGCAGCTGTGGATAGCTATGTGCACATGGCAGCAGCCACCTGAGCTAGAGAGCAGATGCCCTCTGACAGCAATAAAAACGATCCCAAGGAACACTCACATGGGGTGGCACAAGCCGCACAGTGTGTGCAGAGCTCTGGATCTGTGAGCTCAAGGGGACTGTGTTATACAATGCTATTACCACACTTCAGCAAAAAAGAAAACCATGGCACTGAGCGGGTAAGTTGTGCACTACCACGCCACATCCATGCCACTCAGTCTCCATGGCCCTTAGCCATGGCAGACACCTCTCTGCTGCCTCGCTGCCACCAGGTCCTCTTCACCCACATACGCTGCCTCCTGTCCTGGCCTCCCCGACAACCGGCACCACAGCCCAATCCTCAGCCTCCCCGATCTTGGTGACAGCAACTTTGCTCATCCAACCACTGCATTTAAACACCTGGGAGTTACCCTAGGTTCCTCCCCGCACTCCCCTTCCTCATCCAATCTGTCAGTGTGTCGGCTCAGCTTGTGCTCCAAGTCCACCCATGTCTTGGTCCTTGCTGCCACTGTCCTCGCTGCCACCATCCTCGCCTGCGTCTCTGCATGTTCCTTCCAGCCTCTTAAGCAGCCCCCAGCTTCTACTCTGCTGTGTCCACCTCACATAGTCAGAGCTGTCGGAAGACACAAATCGGGCCTGTGTGCAGGAGGCCAGCAGCAGCCAGTGACTCCCCAGGGCTCTCTGAACCGAATTCAGCTCTCCAGCGCAGCCCAGAGACCCTGCGCACCTGGGTTGCCACCTAACTGCAGCTCAGGGCTCCCTCTGTCCGCATAGCTTCCAACAGGCCTCCTCCTCACCCCCACAACACCGCGCCCTCTCCCCTTGCACTCCCTTCAGAAGAAACAGGCATCCACCTTACCGCCACCTCTACTCTTCTCATCTTGAACTCACACCCAGTATTCTCAAGCAGATTTCACTCTTAACAAAGGGAAAAGCCCTCCAGAAACCAGCCCATCTTATCCTCTATCTCTCTAGATCAGGATTTTCCCAGAAGCCCAATAATAACATCACACCAAGAGTCTACTCTGGGAGAAGCGCTGACTTTACACTCAGGCAGCTCTTTGGGCTCAGCCTGAACTTCCTTAGCCAAAGCCTCGTCTGGGGTCTGAAACAGCCAGTTCTACCATCTTCGCACCACTGTCACCTTGGTCATGAGCCCACACCAGAGGCCCCTCCACGCATGCCTATCACCCACTCACCTCTCCCAGCATCTCCAATGACAACCTCAACACCATGCCCACAGAGAGGGACATCACACATGCTCTTTGATGACACAACCTGTGCATTAACAACACTTCCAAACTTCCCGGCAGAACGTAGTGGCACACACCTATAATCCCAGCCCTCAGTAGACTGAGGCAGGGGATCACCACAAGTTTAAGACCAGCCTGTACTCAGAATGAGCTCAAGATCAGGGTGAACTAGAGCGTAAGATCCTGCCTCAGACACCAAAAAATAAAAACAAAAGCCTGCATGTACATGCTCATGTGTTCTATTGGTCAATTTTAAACGCAGGAATAAGGTTTCTTGGTCACAGTGATCTCTTCTCTACACAGGGCAAAAGAAAGAAATGTCAAACTGTGGGTCAAATTATAAAAATATTATTCTATTCCTATTTTTAAAACTCCCTAGTCTCTCTCAATAAAAGCTTTTTTCCACAGTTGGGGAGTAAAAAAGAAGGTCATCATATACACAGCCCAAACACAAAAGCCAACATGTTTAAGTGTACCTGATGTGGTTAACTTTCCCTCGCTGCACTAACGCAGCCGTACTGGTCTGGCTTTGTGCTTCCCCAGCAAGGCCTACACAGAAAGCAGATGGACTGTGTTTCTCTGCCTATGAAAATCTTATTTACAGTGTTGTACAGTTCACATGGTGACCTCATATCTGGAACCTATTCCTCTCCGCATCTGCAAAGAACAACTGTTCCCATGTGGAGCCAACAGTCTCATGATGTCATAGGCCAAGAGGAATCACAAACTCCTGGGAAGGAGATTTGTCATATTGATCAGATTTTTGCTTTGTTTTTTTTTTAATATCAGCAAAATAAATCACTTCAAAAGTAAAAATTAACAGAATAAAAATGAATATCATTTTTGCAATACTGTTCCCCCCCTTTCTTCTGTATAATTCTGTAATCTATAACCAAAATTCTAAACTATTTTTCATTCAAGTTATAACTAAAGTCCTCCTTACTCTTCTTCAAAATGCAATATCTTGATCTTTATTTGGCTGGCTCATAAATAATTATCTATTCAACATAAATTTACTGAGCATCAGTCAAATGGCAGACACTGGGCTAACTTGTAGAGTAAGACCTGGCCCTGCCATCAGGAAATGAGAAGTCTACTTGGGGAAAGAGAAAAGGAAGAAATGGTAACAGGTTTCAAGTGCAAGCAAAAAGGCAGCTTCATGAAATGGAGGAAGCCAGCTTTGTAAGGAGAAGTAGGGGGCTGAAAGGCGAGCACAATTGTATCAAGGCAGTCTGAGAAGGTGTTTCCAATGCCAGGAAGAGCAGAGGCAGCACGGCAGAGGGGCCAGGTGACAGCTTTTAGAGGCAGAGTCTGCGAGCTAGGGTGAATGGAGCAGAGTATCCCAGAGGACGATAGGAGGTGGGGATGGGTGACACCACAGGGCCGCCAGGCAGGCCAGGACGCTGCAGGAAGATGGAGCTCGGGACTGCTGGGCAGCAAAGAGCAAATGAAGAGACTAATGACGGAAGCAATGTCTGCACGCAGCTCACACTCCCAGAAACAGGCCCTTGTCCAAGAAATCCGAGGAAAACTTCAAAGATGAAACAGTGGTACTCCTAGCATCAGAACAATTAACAAACTCTTTTGCTAAAAAACAGTTTTCAGGGTTGGGAATTTAGCTCAGCAGCATAAGTGCCTGCCTTGCAAACCCATGGTCATGAGTTCGATCCCCGGTACCAATAAAAAAAAAAATGGTTTTCTACTCAAGACTAGGTCATTCAAGAATGCACTTGCCCCACACAAGGTGGGAAGGTGACAAATGAGAGAAGACGATAGTATCTATTTTCAGATGGATCCTCAATCAACAACACAGATGTAGAAAATGAAACACAGTCAACATTCACAGGTGAGCCAGGCACAGCAGCATGTGGCTGTATGTCTACACTAACGCAAGAGCGTGAGACAGAATTAGTTCAAAGAATACACAGCCTTGGACTCCTTACCTGCTACCTGCTTAGGCATTCCTGACCAAGGAGACCAAAGCTGCCGGACTCCACACTGCTCCACAGTTGGACTGTCCACTATTCTCCACTGTTCTCCATCACTCCATCCCTAATATGTGTCCCTTGTCTAGAAGGCCTATACTGCAGGACCTAGCCCAGGGGGCAGCCCTGAGAAGAGCCCTCTTCAGAACTTCTGTCCACAATCCCCCATAACCACTGGTCACCCTTCCATCTGAGCATTCTGTCCCAAACCATCCATTCACTTGACTCTTCCCTTCTGGCTGGAATCTCATCTAAGCTTAGGTGTTCTCTAAGCACAGAAGAGCTCATCCTGGTCCTCCCAAAAGCGCCCTGTGGCATGCTCCTATCTGTGACTCTCCCTGGCTCACAAGAGCTGTTCCAGAAACACTGCCTCAGCAAACCACAGAATTAGCTTGTGAACTACCAAGCACCCAACAAATATTGCTTATGGCTGTTTACTATCCCATGCAATGTCAACCAGTCTTCCCAGCCAGGCAGATGTGTGCGCTGCAGGCAAGCTGAACTATTCGAGGCTCCACACATACTGTAGCCTAGGAAGCAGCAAGTCCTGTATATGTTATGTCATCAGCCCTAAGCATGTAAGTGCAGGATAGGAACAGGGTGAAGGGACGGCAGACTGCTGTAGGAACAGCCTGTCGTAGGCTGTGAGCACCTGGATTAACGTTCCTCTCTTCAAGCCTTTTGAAACGTCCTCCTTGGACATGTAGGTTTCAAAGATGCTCTTTTTCTTCCCTCGCATGGACTTGTTCTTTGACTTTTTGTCACTTGGCGAAGCACCAGCACCATGTGGGCCAACCATGGGGGACACACCTAGAAACACAAGGCAGCCATCAGCTCTCTCTTCAAACATCTCTGCATTTTTAAAACTTGAGATATTATCTCTTTCTCTTATTATCATTGTTAGCAACATTATTTATAAAACTAACAAGAGCACAAAACTGATGACGCTTTTGATCACAAAAAGAAAAGAATGGGTAAGAAAACATTAATAAATATACACAGATGAGATCGATTTCTTAATAAGCACAACATGCATGGAACAAAATCTGAATAGTGGGTTCAGTATGCTTTGCTATTTATAGATATAAAATTTTTTAAAACAGAAATTATTTAAAAATTGTCATTTTTCTAAAAGAAATTAAACAGCTGCACTCAATATAAACAATGAGAAACCACACCTAATTCTGGAACAAAAAACACAGGAGAAAATTTAATATTTCAATAAAAGAACCACAGTCCCCTTCCATCCCAAGAGCCTCCCCCGACCTCCACATCCATCCTTCCTGTTCCAGCCCTGCAGACGCCACTTTCCTCTTACCACCACCTTTAGGGGCTCCCAGGGCCCGGAAGTTCAGCTTGTACTCAGAATGGCTCATTACTGGTTCCAGGGTCACCTCTGCTCTCCAGATCCAGGGGAGCCGGCACTGCTCAGCTCAGAGTTCCCGCCCTGGACAGCGCAGTGTCTCTAGCTGAAACCAGAGAGAGACTGATGAGCAGCAGCAATTAGCCACGGCTCCTGCCATCCTGTCAGAAGCTTGGTACTTAGATGCACTCAGATGCAAAGATCTTGTGGCACTATCCTGGGCTCTCGGGTCACCTTCTCCTGGCCAGATCATCAAGCCCTCCATCTGTGCTGAGTTTCTGTCAGCTCATTCCCCTCACAAGTGTACCAGGTTCCTCCTTGGCTCTTCAACTAAAACTCTCCACACACAGGATAATGAAGTGGAAAGTCAGGAACTGTGCAGATGCAGCAAAAGAGCGGGGAATGTGGCTGTGAATGGCAGTATAAAGATCTGCCATCTAAAAGCTCTTGTGAGTACTAAAATGGGGCACATGCTATAGTATTCACTAAGCCTACGCTTGCACAGGCAGTATACCTCTACGAAATGAACTCATCAACAGAACCTAACTCCACTACACAGACAACGCCAGGTGGCTCACGAGCTTTCAAAAACTGACAGTACTGTAGTCCTTGTTCTTACCTGCCATCTCCCCCAACCAGGTGTCTAATTGGAAGTTTAGATAGCCGCTTCTCAAGAATACAAGGGCAGCTGCCTGGGTCAGCAGGCTACAACGTGCGCTGCACATGCCCCAGCCTTCCCCTGGACAGTGAGCAACTCACCATGGCCTCCCATTGCTCCCAATTTCCTACTCGCATCCTTCAGCAAAAGATGCCATTTCTCTTTAATTTAAAATTAATACTAACTCAGGAAAACAAAAGCAACAAAGAGACAGGCCATTCAGTGATATATGAAGTGCTCTGAAGATAAGAATCCAGCTGCAAGGATGCAGCGTGAGAGATGGGCTCAGAGAAACAGCAAGGGACCCAAGCGAGATGGTGCAAGGAGGAGTGGAGACTGCCGGAAAGTTAATCCGGAACGTACTTATCCCTCATCTGCTGGGCATAATGAAGGATAAAAGGTCATTAGGTTTAAAAAGTCACAGTGAAATAACAATGTACAGTAGGAAGTGCATAGCACCTTACTGTACATATGATGGGGGACAAGTCTTCCAATCCTAATATCTGACAGAGCTTTAGGAATGATTTTAAGGAAGAGCTAAGAATCTCAGAAAGGCATGCTTCTGGCAAAAGCAAGCCAAAATACAGACGCAAACAGCAAACAAAGGCTGGAGTCCATTTGGCTAGAGTCCCACCTACATGCAGTGACAAGGAAATTAAAACAAGTTGGAAGGTCTAGAAAATAGGCTGGGTTTTTTAAAGATACCAGGGAGCTGCTGAAGCATGAATGAGCAGAGGAGAAGAATAACTGACCAGAGCAGGAAAAGTCAATTGGAGGCAGTGCTGGGAATCAAAGGAGCCCGGGAGATGAGCAGCAGTGCATCTGAGAGGAGAAACTGAGGAGACAGGGCAGGAGGTGACCTGGACTCACACAGACAGACCCTGGGAAGAAACCACCCCTGACCCCGTGTTTCGCAGCACAGACTAGCACAGCTGGCAGCCAGCACTTGGCAAAGGGGTAGGTTTCCAGCCAGGAGACTGAGAGACGGGAAGTCACTATGTCACAGAGGAGACGAATTCTACTTCAGCTATCATATCCTTCCATATGGATCAATTCACCAAAGGCTTGGCAAATGGAAGGTAACACAGAGACACCAGCCAGCTGCCTGCATAACAACGGCAACCAGAAGTCTTCCAGGATGGATGATCCCGCCAAGGAAGGACAAAGGAGGGACCAGGACAAGGGATAATCATGCAACCTTCCCTTCCCAGTAAGGGAGTTGTGCAGCCCACTGACCTGGAGAAATCCTGAATATGCTATTTTAACAAAATCAGAGTTAAGACAACTTTTAGGAATACAAAGAAAATATAACAACAAAGCTAATAAAGATGTAGAAAAAGAAACAACAGAGTCAGATACTAAGAAAACAAGGAAAGCCTTTCAGCCAGAAAAACCTTCTGTCTGACAGCAATTTGCCAAAACAAAGAACGCAAAAGGAATAGGGAAAGGAAGCTGGCAAATGTTCTCTGGCCCTTTCAGAAAACAAGGGGTTATTATTCTGGCCACATATAGATGAATCTACAAAAAGGGTGACAATGTGGACATCACGGAATGGGTGATGTTCAGAATGGAATGCCTCCCGGATGTTACCACGACAAAACAAGTCTACCGCGTGGCACGGTATGCCATTGGTTATCAAGCAGCTAAGGGTAAGGTCCTCGCCAAGAGAACTAATGCTCATTATTAGGCATATTATGCACTCTGCGAGCTAAGATAGCTTCCTGGAATGCAAGGAAAATGACTGAAATAAGAAGGAAGTCAAAGAGAAAGGAGCCCGGATTCAACTGAGGCTCAGGCTGCCCGCCCAGAGAAACACAGTTGCGAGGACCAACAGAAGGAGCCTGAGCGACTAATGCATGTCTGTGAATTCAAGGCATAAGCGGGGAGGCAGCTGCACGGCCCAGCGCCTAGTGGATAGCTCAGGTGTTGTAGGCGTGGGTTCAATACCCAGCACTCCTAAACTGAAGAAAGGTCCTCAGACTGTACAGATGGTTTTCTTAAATGAACAGGTACACAATGCCCTCACCCCAGGGAAATGAATGCTTAGAGCAGCTTCTCATCACACCCAATTAGCTGTGCCACATCTGTGGTCTTCAGGTTCAGTGTCTTTTCTGCTGAAAGATGCTGGTATTATGCAGTAGGTACACACCTAACTGGCCCAGTATTTCCAGTCTATGTATTATTTGACTAAAGAAAGTTCCTTTAAGTCACCATGAGAAGATGTATGAAAATAAATGTAAGGTGATCTATGGCATTACATTTAAATAAACGGGTTAAAGCATCCTCTCCCCCAACAAAAAAGAAAAAAAAAATACAAGGAGTAAAGAGCTTCCAAAAGACAGACAGCTCATCAGGCTTTGCTCTCGTTGTCAGTGAGGCCACTACCAGCACCAGTGCTGGGTAAGGTGAAGTCTTGGGGGCAAACTGCTGGCAGCCTCGAAAAAGAAGCCTGAAGCAAGAACAGGGTACTCAGCAACAATCCTGGTACAGGACGACTTCAAAACCAGGGGAGTCACTGCCAGCGAAGTGAGGCACCGGTTCAGAGATCTGTGCCTAGGTCACAATCTCTGCGCCTCCCCTCCATATGCGGGTTCACGATCTCTCTCTCCTCACCTCTGGCTCCGGGGAAGCCGAAGTGTGTTTCGCTGGTCCATCCATCCTTTGGGCCTCTGGACTACGACCGTGCCAGGACAGAAGGGGCACTCAACAACCACTCATTCCAGGGACGCTGAGCACACTGAGGGTCACCAGAGAAGCCACACTCAACACAAGTCAGCAAAAAAAAGAGAAGGGACTCAGGCAACACCGTTGGTCAGAATAAGCAAGGCAGCCAGGCCGGAGGTTAAGGCTCACTTTTGATAACTCAGCCTTGGAAGTTAACCAGGAAGATCCTCGGTTATACAAGATGCTAAGCAGAAATGACCCAACAGGCAACCTTGTCATCCTTGTGACACAGCTGTGAAGCCCACTGAGCCCAGAGAAAGTTTCGGCACCCCTCCCCTGATGCACTGACGCACAAGGCAGCTCTCAGTCCTCACCAGCTTCCAAATGAGGACCACTGATACACAGCCCCACTGCCCATGGCTCTGGAAGAGGGGGTCCTACCTTAGAACAGTTAAAAATTCTGAAGCACTGAGCTGGAGTTAACACAAACAGGCAGTGATGGTCACATGTCACATGGTTCAAAAAGGCAGGCATGTGCCAGGCATGGCGGCATACATCTATAATTCCAGCACTTGAGGCTAAGGTAAGAGGACTGTTGCGAGTTCAAGACCAGCCTGGGCTACAAAGTGAGCTCGAGGCCAGCCTAAAGTGCATAACAGGACCCTGTCTCAAAAAGACAAAAAAAAAAAAAAAAAAAAAATGGATACAGAGAAAAGGGGAAAGAGAAGATGTCCAGAATAAATATTATCCCCTCAAAACAAAAACAACCATTAAACTGGTCAAAGCTGTCAAACTCACTTAAAGATGTGGATTTTGATGGAAAACATACAAAAAAATTGAAGAGCCTGATTCAGGAAAACTGACTGACCAACAAGAACCATGGAAAAGTATGGCGGTGTCGCGGGGGCTCTCACCTCCCCATATCTACTCCCAAGTCCTGGAGATGAAGTCCCCCTAGGGGAGGGCAAGGTGTGAAAACTGGCACTGCCAGTCAGAGGAAATTTGGGAAAAGCACAAGGAGAATACCACCTTGGGCATTTTCAAAGCAATACTAATTCAAAGGGCTAAAAATATAAATAAATTAACCGAGCCAATCAGGAAGGCCAACCTATATCTGCAGTAAGA